GGGGGGGGTTACCCAGCGCGACCCCCCCCCGAGGAAATGCAACAGCTGCAATGCCACCAAAGCATGGCTCCGGACACGCATCTGCCGCGCGTCCTGTTCCGACGCCCCAGCCTCGACACGCGTCGGCCGCAAGAGAAAGGCCAGGCGCCGGCGGCGATTAGCCCGGGCTCCTTTCGGCAATGGGCGGAGGACAGGAAAAATCTCTCTCTCGTGGTCTCAGCGGAGCAATTGCAATGTTGGGTGATGGTTCGAACCGCGTCCACACGTTACTGGGAAAAGTGGGCGCGACCCGTGCAGGCGCGCGCGAGGGGACGCACGGGCCTCCAGAGGGCAACCCCCTTTCCGAGGAGCGCCAAACATATAGGTCTGCATCGTCAAAAAAAACAACGCCAGGAACCGGGACCTGGATGTAGACGGGCTTTCAAACACGCGTCCGGCCGTACACACGTCCGATTAACACGGAAACGACTCTGCTGGGATCACGAAAGCGAAGCGTGTTCTCTGTAGCCGGACTGCACGAGTACGTAACGCGGATCTGGTTCCCTTTTTTGTTTTTTTGCACGGGGGGCGGCGAAGCAATTCGTGCGTTCCCTTGAACGCGTGTCTGGGGCTCAAAGGGAACCTCCCCCCCAAACGCCCCGGTTTTATTTTGCAAGCCAAAAGCCGGCCCCGGCTCGCAAAGAGAGGGTTAGCGCGCGCGGACAAGGCGGGCACAGACGCGAGTCCGCTGTAACGTGTGTACAGTCTGCTGGGGGGGGAGCGTCTACTAAAGGGCGGGCGAGGGAAAAGAGAGAGGGCAGCGACGGCCTTGCCGTCCGGCCCTGCGATGGGGAGAGAGAGAAAGCAACCGGAATGCAGCGCCCCTTCCGACAGGAGAAAAAGGGGGCATAAACCCGCGCCCTCGATGGAACCTCCGGGGCGAGGCGCAGTCTATCAAAAGTGGGTTATCACACTGCAACGCGGAAATAGCTTTGCTATTTATGACGGTTCAACCCGTATAGAAGCTACACTGCTGTCGCTTCATTCTTATATACTGTATATTTTTGGAATGCCAATAAAAATCTGTTAAAGAAAAAAAAGTGGGTTCGCAGCAACGACACCGGGAGGGGTGCTTGGGAGCACCATACAAGGGAGGGAGGGGGGTGTGGCTCCGCTTCTCCCCCCCCCCAAAAAAGCCTGATTTCCAAAATAAATAATTTGCAAAACAAACCGGGGCGTTTGGGGAGAGATTCCCTTTCAGTCCTTAGACACGCGTCGAAGGGGAACGCACACATCGGTTCAACCCCCGTGCAAAATCTCCAGGAAGCCCCGTCCGAGCGGGAGGGGGTCAGTCTAGACGACCTCGAGAGATCCCCCCGGCGCCCCCCGCGGTCCCCAACCGGCGCCCCCAGGAGGAAAAAAGGGGGTGGAG